ACCGCATAAGTATAATAGTGTCTTTGATATAACCCGAACAATCCTTTGCGAAATTAATAGTGGCGGTCGAAGTCTAATTGGATTATCATCAAGTTACACAGTCACAATCGAAAATTTATTTTAAGGGTCCGCTATCATAACGCATTTTTAAATATTCAATGTAAACAATCTTTGTGTGTCGAGGCACAGTATTCAATAATTTCAGATGATTTAGTGGTTTCTAGTCATTAGTAACTTAAAGCTTGATATTGTCATTGAACAATATTATTCTTTCCAACTTTTACTTTTTGATTAAACTTTTTTTTTTAATAAGGCACGATACAAAATCCTAGGGAATATTTGCTCCTCAATGTTTGACAAGTATTTTAATAATCACATACCAATCATAATAATTATACAAATCAAACAACCTAATTAACACAACTGGAATTATTTTATTCAAATAAACACGAACATATGAATGCGAATGTCACATTCACATAAGACAGCATTTGCATAAAATTCAAATTGGAATATCTGTCCTCGTGCCGACCGCGCCGTTCATTCCACAACTGTCCAAACTTGCTAACATTTTCTTTCTTTCGGCGGGAACAAATGCTATGTGCATATAATTATCATATGTGCATATCATTTAAACGTAAATTGGTAGGTATAAAATGTAATTTCCTATACTTTGAGTGAGCAAATCTTGTATCATATATGGTATATATGTAATTGATTTCTCGGTAACGGCTCTAACGATTCGCATGAAAGTTTGTATTTGGATAATGTTTGACTTTCCAAGTTTATTTAGATAGGTTTCATCCCAGAGAAAATTATTTTTTTCTAACGTTATTCAAATTCATTCAATTTCTAAGAGCCGTGGTAGCTCAGATGGTTAGCGCTCGCGGTATATTTCACAGTACGCGAGCAACCCGGGTTCGATTCCCGCCGGCACCAATTTTAAGCGGTGATTTACCATGTGCTCGGCGGCAAAGCAAAACACCGTGAGGAAACCTGCATGTCTGAGAAATAAGAAAAAAAAAGTATGTCTAAGACATGTGAAGTTCGCCAGCCAAAACACGCATTGAGGCAGCGCGCGGACACTTCCTTACTCTAAAACCCTCGCAGAAATTAGAGGAGGCCTGTGCCTAGCAGTGTATGTATAGGCGGTAACTAACGCCATTCAAACCTCTGTCGCGCCGGTATTGTAGTTATGAAGTGAATGTTATTTTACGTAAAAATGTTACTTTCAATTTTTACATTTTAGACGTGATTTTTAATACCTACTGTATTCAACTAGTTATATTGGAAGCATATTAAAATCGAAGTGAATCAATCTATTCATACATATAAATAAAATTGAAGTGTCTCTCTGAAATATTAAAATGACTAGCTTCTATTAAGCTCATGATGTTATTTGCATCTTATTAAGACCATTTATATAAAAAATTGTGTATGTCTGTTTGTCCAGGCTAGTATTCGGAATGACTGAACTGATTGTGGTGAAACTTTAAGAACAGATAGAGAAAAATGCCAGGAGGGATCTAGGCTATATTATCCGAAAATCTTGAAGTTTTCTTTTTTAAAACGAAACATTGATTAAATAAATGGTCTTTGATTATCTTAATTTCTAAATAACGCCACATTAATAGATCCTATCCAGGCGAAGCCGGGGCGGGTAATCTATTATTATTTCTTTAAACTTTTTCCTTTTGTTTTTATTTTTTGAAATTATACTTTTTTCGGGGCGTTTGGGAATAATTATGAGAGAGAATGAATTTTTACGATGTGTGCCCACCGACATCTAAAAACGACACCATGACGTTGTTACACACTAACACCTAAAAGCGACGACTTCAGTAGGTAATTGTCTCTCAAGTTTTTTGTTTTGTTACGCTAAAGAAGTATAACATCCTACGTGTGTACATAAGTACACACACATACTTTTTTTAATAAAATAAGGGTGACAAACGAGCACACAGTTCACTTGATATTAAGTGGATTCTGTAGCCCATTGAATCTGTCCTCGATTAAGAATCAAAATACCTATACGTTGTCACTCCTGAGTACTAAGATAGAATGCCTCGTTTCTAGTGAAACGTTTCTCCGGTTCTCTATAACCACCATACGAATCATTTCATATTACATCTCAAACTATAAATATTTATCGATCGACCGAGCGATATTTTCATATTATATTTCGCCCCCTGTACCCCGCACACAGTTCCGCGCCGCAGCAAAACGGTGTGCGGGGTACAAGGGGTAATCCAATAATGAACGCACACTGGTTAAAAGATATATCTCACAGTGTGAAAGCCAATCGCGGGATATAATTTGTATTTCGGGATATAATATATATTACATCCCATAGTGAAAAGCCAGCTTTAAGGTCGTGACCTAGTCCCAACACTCAGCTGTTATCATCACTTTAGTAATCGATCATCACAACCTTTAAAATTTTATTTCGACCAATTATGGTAATCTTGCACAAACACTAATTCATCACTATGTCTACTTGACGACCACGAAGATTTTGTTCACAATCGATTTCGAAAGTGACTTGGTTTATAAGAATGCGGATAAGTCGTTGACCATACGTGTTCATTATGAGCGTTAAATAGGTACACATATTTTGACAAAAGAGCATTCATCCGTGAAAAGTACACGGTTCAAAAAATCAGGATCTCCTTCAACCTTACCAAGTAACCATCTACAGTAATCTATTCTCGACTCGTAGTCGTTGGGAAGAAGACACTGAACTCGACGATAATGACACGGGTGCTGGCGATCATCTTTGTGGGCTCTCCAAATGCGCACATGGTTCACACCTAGTTCAATGTGCCACCGAGCGCGTGCTCCGCGTCTGATCTTCCCCAAACATGTCGAGAATGTGCTCCTCGATGTCGTCGTCGTACATTCTCGATCTTCCTGAATCAGTACGTTGTTGATCACGGCCATGCACACTGCCATTATTATACATACGAATGTGTAGTCGTTGGAACGTCATCGCCGACGGCAATTGTATATTTCGTGGAGTAGCAGTCACATTTCCTGAGACACATCAAATATTAAAATATTTCTCGTTTGAGTAAGACATAAGACAAGTCACTCACGGCGGATACTTAATTTCGCAATATAAAAAACAGATCCGTCCAGAAGTAATTTATGCGGATGATAACAGCTATCAATATCAGCGCTAGCGCGCTACTGGTGCTTTGGTTTGTTGTACGTGCACGTGGCAAAGCGACTATACTCTACAACATGAATTTGATATTTTCTGAATCGAGGAAATTTGTTGATTTTTGATGCAATTTGTTAATAATAGATTTTATTTATTTATTTACTTCATGCAGAGCCCATAAGTGTTATTAACAAATTAAATTATAGCTAGAATTAGTAAAAATACATTAAAACACTACAATAACAAGAAAAAATAAAAAAAATTGTGGGATAAATCCACACAATAACATATACCTACCTAAACTGTTATGCTGCTGTGTTTTTCAAAATCTACTAATTAGCTTTTTTATCGACCGTCGATAAACAATACTTATTTTTATTTCTATTCTTGACTACTGAATTGTGACAAAATTATATGTTTATAAAACTTCTCATGTTTTTAAATATTACTACTAAATATTAGCACAGAATAAATAATAGATATTAGGTAGATCAAAATAAGTGGATCAAAATAATAGTTGCAAATTTGGAATTAATCTAGATATTTTATGCTTGAAATAACCTTTTTTAACTATTTTTCCCAGATCTATTTAGTAATAAAGTGGAAATTTATAATATAAGTATTCAAATACAATGTGTATTGGGGTTGATAGAATATCCACTAACCCAAATCGTCTCGTGGGTGTGGCATCTTGACAGCATCTTCTTAACAACAACTAGATCCAAAGTAAAAAAAAAAAACTACGATTGCCAACCCGCCTGCCAAAAGTGGAAAGTATGGCAAATACCCCCCTTATGAGATTATCTGTGGGGTAACCTGTATGTTCAGAGATGTTCAGTAGATTTTTTTTTTTTTTTTTATAGGATAAGGGTGACAAACGAGCACACAGTCCACCTGATGGTAAGTGGTTGCTGTGGCCCATAGACATCTACATTTATCCTCTATTACAAATCAATTTGTAGATGCGTTGTCACCCGTGAGGACTAAGATGGAATGCCTCATTTCCAGTAAAAAGGGCCTCCGGCCACCTGCACTCACCAAGCGAAACGCAGAGGTAAACCTCTACTTCACGCTGGTTTTCTGTGAGGTCGTGGTACCACCCCGGTTCGAGCCGGCCCATCCGTGCGACAGCAAAAGCTGCCGCGTGGCTCTACCACTGTTAAGACTGACTAGATGACTTTGATAGATTGTAATGAACGTAATTTCAGAAACTGTTAGATGCATTGAGATAATATGTTACGTATGTTACTACGTAACATATTATCTCAATGGTTAGATGTCGTCAAAACATCGTCATCTACTTATCGGGAGCTTTTTCGTTAAGTAACTTCGTAAAATGATATTTGTAAGATATTATAAAATAGGAAATAAATATTAACATATTAAATATTATTAGGTATTCAAGAAGCGAAATGGAATATTCATAAACTGCCAGCACATTATTAAAAAAATACATTTCATTATAATTTATATTATTTTTAAATTTAAATTTTCGCAGAATAACTGTGTTTAGATAGGTAGGTATAACGATTTACACAAAAACCTTGCGGAAGCTCGTGCCGCGCAGCGGCTTGCTTTGTAGCGGCCGTGTCAGTGACCTCACAACCGCCGTAGGTAATAATATGTCGGCACGTGTCGGTAAGTTCAGAAGCAAATAACATTTTTAGAAATATTAAATTTAGTATGTTATCTGATTGGAAACTCTAAAACCCCATTTAAAACAACCAAAAAATTCCATTATCATAATTGTCATGCCTATGCGTACACCTATACGTCCCTGAAACGACCAACGGGTTTTTTGTTACATACTGTATATTGTATTAAGATGTTAATTTCAATGCTAACGTATGTGCATGCGTTCGTAAAATGCAATGGTATATATATAATAGGTTTTTTTTTAATACAGAACTAAATTATATAGATAAAGTACCTACATTTAGAACTCCATTACATAAAGACGGAGAACAAGAACTTTCAATTGTGCAAATGCTTCTATAAAATGAAGACAAAATTAATACATTTGCTTATATGAATATAAAAATGACTAAATATTTTTAATGACGCGTTTACTTCTATAGCGGATACGAAAACTTGATTTTCTTCAATTTTTTCTGAATTATATTTACCTACAGGCCTATCGCTATAAATAAGCCATTGATTTGTTATTTTACATAAACTTATCTCAAGTATATCTTTTGATACGATTCTCAGAGTTGAAGATTAAATATAATCTTAACAATCGGGTCCCTATAAATATCGCATTTATTCAGCAAAAACTGCAAACTTGCGTAATAAACAAACCTATCACAATGTATAAGTTTAGACTATTGTCAGTAACATAATTTTCTTGAATATATTATTACTTACTTTCATATATTCCTTAAATTTATTAATTATGATTTTCATGTAATTTGCAGGATATTTTTGTCAGTGCTAGTTTTATCAAGCACCCATCAAATAAAAAAGGCCCGAGACAATGTAAGGAAATTTCCAGATGAATTTATTTTTGGTGCAGCCACTGCATCTTACCAAATTGAAGGTGCTTGGGATGAAGATGGTAGGTATCTTTTATACGATTTTGGTGCTAATATCTTGTTTATATCTGTAGAACTTAAGAAAATTTTTCTAAAAATTTAATCGCTCCTTATTAGAATTTGGCTTAAATGGTTTTTAAACTTTTATTAAATAGGGTTACATAATATAATATGTAGTTGACTCTATTTATAATAATTTTGCTATTCGCTTTTAAAAAGCATATTAAAATGTCTTTAATATAGTTAGAAATAATAAAGTATTTTTATTAGGGAAATCTGAAAATATTTGGGATCGCTTAACCCATGCTGATCCATGCTCTATCACTGACTGCTCTAACGGAGACATCGCCGACGATTCTTATCATTTATACAAGAGAGATGTAGAGATGATGCGAGAGCTTGGACTAGATTTCTATAGATTTTCATTGTCTTGGTCACGAATCCTACCCACTAGCTTTCCAGACAAAATAAATGAAGCTGGCGTGCAGTATTACAACAACTTGATCGACGAAATGCTTAAGTACAATATTGAACCTATGGTCACATTGTACCACTGGGACTTACCCCAGAAATTACAGGATATGGGCGGTTGGACCAATCCGTACATTGTGGACTGGTTTGCCGATTACGCACGTGTTGCTTTCGAAATGTTTGGTGATCGAGTAAAATACTGGATAACAATGAACGAGCCACGTGAAATATGCTATCAAGGTTATGGAGCAAATACAAAAGCACCACGTCTTAATATAAAGGGTACTGCTGAATATATGTGTGCAAAAAATTTATTAATGGCTCACGCGAAAGCTTATCATATATATAATGAAGAGTATCGATTTTCTCAAGGTGGAATCATAGGTATAACACTAAGTGCTAATTGGTATTATTCTGAAACTGAAGCAGATATTGAAGCTGCAGAAGAAGCAGTACAATTTGAGGTAATTATACTAGCTTGATATTTTAAAAGTAACTCTTTCTTAAGAAAGGAGTCCTATTAGTGGGAATCCTAGACCTACTACTAGGAATCCCTATATAAGAGTTCGTCTGAGTAGCACCACGCTCATACCTTTATGTCAATTTATATTCCGGTCTGAAGGCTATGGAGAGTCAGAATAATTGCAAGTTATGAGTTATTCCGCATGCCATCAAAAACGACTTCATTTTTAAAGATGGTTGAAACTGTCCACGGGCTGCAGCAGCCAGTTACAATCAAGTGGACTGTTAGCTCGTTCATGTCATGAATGTTATAAAACAAACTATTAAATATTTTACCTACATGAAGGAACACGTTTATTTAACTTATAGTTGTGATTTCTGCGTTCGATTCTTCCCTGCCGAGCCAACTACTTCCGAACGCTGTCCAACCGAGTTGGATCCGTCAGTTGACTACTCGGTCAAAGTTGGACTTATCTAGTCGGACAATTTCTTCCTAGTAAATTACAGGAAACATAAGTGTGACATGGATGTTACACAACACGACCTTTGTCTTGTCCATATTTATCTTTAGATCTATACGTTCTCATGCGAAAAACTTTAGAGGACATTGAGTATAGTGCTAAGCTTCGACAATAGATTGGGAAGAAAGGTTCTCCAGTGATAGTTCCGTACCGGTAAGCGAAGTATATAGAGAGTGCTCACTAGATAAAGTGACGAACTGGTAAGCCTTGCACGTAGTCGATGAAAGCAAGTGGCTCAAACCGTATTTTATGGCATTCCGTGGGAAAGGCCTACTATGAAAGGCCGTTATGATGATGATGATGATGACAATGGCGTCGTATGACGTCGGCTATAAGGATTACTTTCCTGGGCGTGTTCCATCTGATATTCCTCTCCAAGGTTAAATATTTTTTACCTATTTTAACCGCCAAAGTGAAACTTTCAGTGAAACCAGGTAGGGCCAGTATAATTACGTTTTATGTCTTTTTGTAATTACAGTGGGGGCAATATGCTAATCCAATATTCTCAGAAAAGGGTGACTTCCCTCCGGTTATGAAGGAGAAAATTGCAGCTAAAAGCGCTGCCCAAGGTTTCGCGAGATCTAGGCTACCTGAATTCACTCCCGAAGAAGTTGAATATGTACGGGGAAGTGCTGATTTCTTTGGTATAAACCATTACAGCTCGTATATTGTATATAGAAATGAATCAATGGCTACTTACCATGAGGTACCTTCTTACTACGATGACCTAAATGCTGTTATTTATCAATCTAGTGAATGGGAGCACGGCGCGTCAGATTTTCTTAAGGTCAGATAATTCTACTGATTTTTAAAATATTCCAACCCTAGTTTTGACTGAAATATTTTATGTCGGGCAGTAGTAAGAGAGATCAGATATTACCTATTTCATGTTATATTGTCATGGTCTCCGATAATAATTGGCGGTATAAGCCATTAAAATAATATTTACTACAGACTAGAATAGACAATCATATTTTGGCAAAGACGTAAGTTTGAACCCGTGGGTTCTAACGCGTATTGCCAACAACCGAGTCTCGGTCTCTCTTCTAGTACGTAGTACCTATTACTTCAATTGTATAAACATCCCGTTTAGGCAGACACAAGACTAAAAATATTAAGACCAGTAATGGAGACTAACTTCAAACTCGGAGTGTGTCATGATAATAAAAAAGTGAATTAAGTGAATTTTAATGATTTCTTATATTTACTCGAAGACTACACTTTAAATGAAACTAATTTTTACGGATTTTATCGCGATTAATTTAACTTTTTAATTCCTGACGTTTCGGGTGCTTTACAGCACCCATGGTCACGGGGGGGACTGAGGTGTTTGACGTCCCGATGTCATAGTTAACCTTCAATTTTTGAATATTAAGGTCTGATCTACACATATTTATGATTTTTTTATTCCTATTTTATATTTCTTATCATATTTATTAAATCTGAATTATTTTGTTATTGTAATCTTTATGAATACATAATATTTTAAATTAATTAAAATAAATGTTCCTAATAACGAAACAGTGATTAATGCTTTAGGTAGTGCCCGAGGGATTCTACAAACTTTTAACTGACATTAAACAAAAATATAACAACCCACCTATATACATTACGGAAAATGGATACTCCACGTACGGTGGTTTAGTTGATGATGATCGCATCGCCTACTATAGGAAGTATATGGACGCCATGTTAGACGCCATAGATGAAGGATGTGATATACGAGGCTATGCAGCCTGGAGTCTTTTGGATAACTTCGAGTGGATGGAGGGTTACCTGTAAGTAATTTAATATTTTTATAAAATAAGGATGATAAACGAGAACACAGTCCACCTGATGGCAAGTGGATGATTAAGCGTATAGGCACCTAAATCTATCCTCGATTAAGAATCATAATGAAGATTCTTTGTCACCCCTAAGGATTAGGGTAGAATACCTCATTATCGGTTAAAAGGACCTTAGGCGAAAGCAAAGAAAGTCACGGTTATGCTCGACCGGGAAAAGACCACGCAATCACGTGAAATAGCAGAAGAATGTTGTGTTTTGTATGATAAGTGTAGAGAATCGAAGACCGTTTTTCACTGGAAAGAAGGCATTTTATTATATTAACCGATAGATATCTATGGGTCACTGTATTTGCTTTCTAATGGACAGTGCGCTTTTTTTTATCACTAATTCTATAAAAAGAAGAGATTCGGTTTTTTAATTAGATAACAGTTTTTATAATATAGTAAGAATAAAGACCAAATGAAAAGGGCTCGAAATTGGGCTTTCGAGTGAAACACAGTTATTTTTTTAAAATTATAACGTTACCAACACACTAGGATTTTCTCCCGTATCTCATGGAGTTAGTTTATAAACGTAAAGGCAATATCTACATCCAGTAGTCTGTCAGAAGAATACATTCTAACAATAACATTCATCAATCCCTAAACCCTGTTGGAATCCGTGTTGGACATGGACCTAACGTAATAAGAAGGTTGGCGAATGATTGTAGTAAACGCAGTATTGAATCAATCGAATTTTTGACGAAATAATAAATAAGGTACTATATCCTTATAAATGTAAAGGCTTAAAAATTTGTACTTAACAATAATAATATGTAATTATTTATTGCTTGTTTGTTTACTGCTCTCCGTTCCCATCACATATTGGTGAGGAAATGGCAAGCAACGTCAATAGCATTAATAATCCGCCTTCAGAGCGAATCGAGTATGGGCTAATAATTTTTCAAATCATACATGCTTGATCTTTGAAAAAGATGTGACACACCTGACATAAATCTTCAAGTGGTTGCAACAGATCTATTCTTAGTTGCTCCTTTTTTTTCCGAATTAGTAATATTATTTTCCATATTTACCACGTTTTTATTGAGTCACTTTCTTGTTTGCCTGCCTATCTGTCTGTATGTCGTTCCGGGTGGAATCTTGCAACTCAAATTTCGTGCACTTCTCGATGAGCTAGAGACTTCAAACGTTGATCATAGCTCGGAATCGGAACACAATGTAGGAAAAACACATGGTACATTAATTTTTTTAATACAAAAATATCAATTGTTTTTTATATAATTAACTGATTTTTAAAATCAATCATCACAAAGATGAAAAAATCATCAATATGTTTACGTGGTAGAGCCATGCTGCAGATATATTAGCAGTATAGTTGTAGCATGAATGGGTCGACCGGGGGAGGACTACGCTCTCACAGAATACCAGCGTAAAATAACAGCTTAACGCTGCTGTGTTTCGTATGGTGAGTGTAAAGAACCGGAGATCCTTTTTACTGTAAACAAGTCATTTCATCTTAGTCCTCACGGGTGACAACGCATTTGCGTTTTGATTCGTAATCGAGGATAGATATAGATGTGCATGGGCCACAACAACCTTACTTACCATCAGGTGGATTGTGTGCTCGTTTTTCAACCTTATCCTATAAAAAATCAGAAAAAAGGCTTGCACAATGAGATCGAGTGGTTTCGCGGACAGCTGAATGCATAGTCCGGTGACAGAACAACGGTCAACGGTCGACGGTCATCGGGGTTGATTGGGAGAGAATGTCAAAAGGCATTAAGTCGCATTAAAAATAAATAAATAAAAAAAATTGTCATTGGAGACAAGTTTGATATCAAGTGTCTTATCCAGGACTAAGCAGCAGGCAAGCGCAGTGTATTGTATAGCGGTCGCAACTAGAGATAAAGTGAAGCCTTAGTGAAACGTGCAGGCTGCAAGAACGATGACTATGAATAATGCCGTTTACATATTTGTAATAAAAATCCCAAACGGCTTACCTAACATAACAATTCATAAACGCCGTTAACCCTTTAAATTTTGTGAGCCTTGTTAAGTAATTTCACAGTAATGCGCCTCGTAGTGGCAGAGTAAGAGAATCGTAATGTCATCCCGTGGGTGTCGTAAATGGTGTTAGAGGGAAATAAAATAACAACAAACTATGCAAATCATATACATACACGGAATATTAAAATCCGGAGGAAGAGAATAATTAGAATATTGTTTTAATTTCAGTGAACGTTTTGGCCTGTACGAGGTGGACTACGAGAGTCCCGAGCGCACGCGCACGCCGCGCAAGTCCGCCTTCGTGTACAAGCAGATCGTGCGCACGCGCGAGCTCGACTGGCACTACGAGCCCGACACCGACGTTATGACCATCGATGAGGGATACTAGATTTTAAAAATATTTATTAAATATCGTCGCATTAGTCTATATACGTTTTTATTATTTTTTTAACCCAACAAATACTAATAATAGTTGGTAGGTAGACCGCCAATGTATTTAAAAATGAATGTAATGCCTCTGCCGATGAATCAGACGCCGTAGACGTGGTGGCCTAGAGATCGCGAATAGTTACAGTCAGAGCTATGTATTGTAGTTATGCTCTCACAAAATAAGGTATTATGTCCAGAATTTTTATTAGAAACAATAGTCAGGTTCAGAATGATCCAGAACATAGCATAGACCATAGCATACATAACCCTTAAAGACTTATGAGAACGATTTTTGTAAACTTAAAATGTTTTACAAAATTCACTAAAATAATGTTATTCGGATTTTTAAAGACAATTTAAAAAAAAACGCATGATTGTGGTATCAATACAAAATGTTTTATCTTTTGCAAACGAGATTTAGCAATTATTTATTCATTTATTTACTATTTATTGTACACCAAAATAGAAAATAATGAGTACAGTTAAATCTAAAGTAGAATATGTACAACAGGCGGTCTTATCACTCAGAAAGTGCTCTTTTCCAGACAACCTTAGCGTAGAGAACTGATGCAAACAATAGTTAAAAATAGAGAGGGGCGTGCAAAATAAAAATAAAAATATGAAAATACATATAAATAAAGATAAGTTAAGATTATATCATATAATTGATTAAATGAAAAGAGTACGAAAAAGGAATAGTAATTAATTTTAAAGCGTAAGTAATACGATTTAACAACACTTTTGAAAGAGTGAAAAGATTTAGCACGACGAATGTGGAGAGGTAAAGAGTTCCACAAACGCACAGCTGTTACAGTAAAGGATTTCTTAAAAAAGAGGAAGAGAGCAAAGTATTAGAGACAGAAATATTGACAGAGGATCGATGGAACCGATTATAAGTAAGGAAAATATACTAGAAACAATCTTTTAAATAATAAGGAGTAGAAGGATTAAACAGCACGCCATACAAAGCGGAGAGAATGTGAGTATTCCTGCGAAAACGGATCGGGAGTAATTTGAGCTGTTTGCGAAATTCAGAGATATGATCATATTTGCGAAGCCCAAATATAAATCTAATATTTAAATTTTGAATGCGCTCAAACTTATTAAGTTGCTCCTCGGTATTGTCAGGATAACAAATATCAGCATAGTCAAGGATAGGCAGAAGTAGAGACTGGGTGAGCGTAACTTTAGTTACTGTGGGAAGAAAATTACGTAATTTACGTAAATAGCTTACCACAACAAACATTTTTCTACTAACCTCATTAACCTGTGAGGTCCAAGACATACAAGATTCGAGATACAACCCCAGGTTTTTAATCTTGTTACTGTAAGGGATTTGAGTGCAGTCTAATAAAATAGGAGGTAGGTAAGACCAGGAATTTTGTAAGAGGAATGGAGCCGGAGCGGGAGCTTTTGAAAGATAATCCAAAGTATTATGTTTTTCTTTATCGTTAATGCAAGACGAAGATAAGAAATGCAAATTAAGTGGATTGAGATCAAAGTTATGGTGTGTGAAATTTTCTCGTAATTTCCCAACTCCTAAAGACTTAAGAAATTACCAGACCCTAGCAGGGTCAGGATCTTGGACTGATTCATGGATATGGCGCGGTTGTGCTTTTCTACACAGATTGTTGCAACGATTCCGTACTGATCTATACTTCTTTCGGAACTGACGTGTATTTTGCTTTGGAACAATTTTTAATGTGGATGATTTTTTTATATCATCAGTCAGCCAAGGAGAGGGAGGATGCTTTATACGTACTGGACGAACAGGAACATGAACGTCATAAAGCTGAATTAATAAAGAGTTGAACAAAGCTACCTGTTCATCAACAGTAGACGCACTGACGACTAAACTCCAATCAATCTTTAGAGCGTCATTTAAAGCTGCTTCAAGTCCAAGTTACAAAAGTCACGCTGAAGTAGAATCCTTGACTTAGCTTTAGTAGGACGAATTTGGTAAGACAAGTATAAAAGGTCATGATAGGAAAAAGAATCAGCAGCATATTGCTCAAATTTATGAACAAGGTCAAGTGAAGACACAAACATTATGTCGGGCAGAGAAGGGACACAGTTTGGGAAAAAGTGTGTGGCAGAAGTAGGAAGAAGTTTTAAATTTGCTGCTTCGATAATAGATTTTAGTAATTATTGATCTGGCGCTGGTTTTTAAAAGACAAGTATAAAAATCACTCATAATTATACTATGATAATCTAGGTGTAAGGTTTTCAAGAATATTTTCTAACGTGGTGAAGTAATCAATAGTGAGAGAGGGGCTGTAAAAGATTCCGAGAAGTAATTTAGTATGACCGAGAAGAACTTCGATAAATAGAAATTCAGCTTCGCCTCCAGTCTGAGAACCAGTTGAAACTTAATTAGTAACTTAAGTAAATGAGAGCGTAGATAAATAGCCACACCGCCACTGCCCCGATCGGTACGGTCGTTACGAATCAAATAAAAACCTGGAAGCGAGTAAGATGTTGATGGAAGACTTAGTTATAACCATGGCTTCGAAACAAGGATAACTTGTATGTGTTAGCTATTAAAACTTGATAACATGTCGGGGTAATGAGCAGTAATACTTTGAGCCTGTATGTGAATAGCGTTAAAGTTTTTGCTAAATTCAGAAAAAATGAATGTAACATAATATTTAAGGGTGCAATGCTTGCAAAGCTATCAATGCTGCTTAATCCTGATGGATTAATCATACTAATACCAATTACTAACACTAATACTTTTAATACTATAAAAGTGCCTATCAAGAAATATCAGCACGAAAACGGCACTAACTGGCATAAAGTGATATGACAGATAAACTGGTATTCGATAATAGAACTAGTGCCGATCACATGTTATACACAATACTGTATAAAATGTTACCCAAAAATAATTATACATAATTTAAGTAGCAGTAGTTTAGCAATAAATTAATCTATCTCTTCCTGTATACTTCATTATCTTTGCGTTTAATTTGGTGGTCATGAGAACGATTTCTAATTTCATACTTATATGCTTTAAGGACTTTATTTTGCTTTATAATTGAATTGTAAACCTTGTATTTGTAACAGTGTGCAACAATTTCTGTTTCTACTACACGTGCACTTGGTATATCGTACAATGCGTCGGCAGCAGTAAGTAGACCTGATATTTCAATTCCTTTTTATATCATGCAACATGTAACAAAAAAAAATGTGTTTTTCAATTTAATAATCTTCTAAGTGTTGTGAAATTTTAAAGGTATGGTATTTATAAAACCTATTAAAGTAGTTGTTATTACTTTAAAACATTTATTACTTATTTATTGAACCTTATAACAATATTTATGTACCAAAATAATAAAGCATTAAGTCCGCAAATTATAATGTGTTTAGTAGCATTTTAAAATATACATAAAAATAATTTATTCAAAACATATAAAAACTTACTTTTTATACTGTACATCATCAACAGCATAATTATTTACTCTGCTGATCATATACCTCCCGCAAGGAATGCCACAGAACATGGTTCTGAGCCACCTGCAACCATCGACTTTATTTATTTATTATAATTTACATGTCGCAAGAAATATTATACTTAACTTATACTATACTAACTTTTTAGCTGCGGATTCTCTCGCGTGGGATTCAATTTAGGAACATCATTAAATGCTATTCCTTGCCAAAATTAGCAATATCGATTACTTTTAGAGTTACATCGTTGCACAGAGCACAATTACTCTCTACCGAGAGAAGAACGCCATCTCCAAACTAAAAAATTAAAAGACGCGTCTATACGTTTATATTTCTAGCGCCACAGTGGGCGCCCGTATGGAACTTTTTTCGCGGGAATTTCAAACCTTTGTGCAATACAAAGGTTGTATTAACAAAAATAATACTAATAATAATAAATAATGTATTAATAAAAATTAGTAACTTAAAACATTTTATTAAAGGCATTATCGAGTAATTTCGACTCAAGCCTCACAAGCCTATGGGGTAAATTCCCATACATTTGAGAGGTTGCACCAAAATTACTCGAGTATACTTTAGATTAGATTTAGATTAGTATGTGGCATAAAATAAAACTATAAATAAGTATAATTATGTAATTTTATTTTCTGGAAGACAAATTGATGTTTTATATTGCTTTTGCACATTATATTTTCACGCTTGTTACTGATATATAACACATGTTATTGTCAGAGAGTTATTCTTCACAGAACATTAAGGGCGCGTTCCGACGACACCACGCCACGCGTACGCCACGCGTGTCAGCACCCGCGTCTAACTCGCTTTGAAATTTGTTGCATATAATTTGAGTCTTATGACAAATCAATAAATCTAACGCGCCTTAACGTAAATTTTAAGCAGCAAAATCCTCATGGTAAAAGCTTTACAACTTACGCTTTTACAACAAAATTTCAGAAAATATACAAAATTTGACCTGCTCAAAGTTCAAAAACTTTATTAAACTAAGTTTGTATAAAAAGGGTTATTAAAATATTAAAGAATTTATTTGTAAGCTGTTATTTTTCAAAAAAAAAGTCCCGCTGGGTTTCTTGCTGGTTCTTCCCTGGACAAAGGTTTTTTTTCGAACCAGTGGTAATAAAACAAGAGTGATTTTCTATTATCGATCATTAATAAAAGACGAGATAGACAATCCTATGCATAAGTTCTCTAAAACCTGTCGCCAATTGTTTTGGCGTAATTCTACTTGAAATAAATATAAATTAATGTAAATTCATACATTTGTATTCACGAAGCTACCTACAAATTAAAAGCGCACGCAAATGTTCGAGTGGGCGCTCATTCGGTAGGACATTTTTTTGTCTCTGATTGTGTATCTTGTTTTTTATTAGTGATCGATGATTTCAATAAGTATTTATTTATAATCTATATTGAATAAAAAAGTTTCTGTTTCTGTTTCTTAACTCAGCTCAAATACTTAATATGTAATAGATACAATTCGAGTCAATATAG